CTTGAGGCCCAATGTCCAACTGCTACCTTGATATTTAATAAAAGTATATGTATGTAGATCTTTTTCCCGATCATAATTATATAAATATAATTACGTATGTACATGCCTGTATTTAGACCTCTAATAACTGCCCTTTGCCTCCTAGTTCTTTCTTTATTTCCTTTTACTTTCCTCTTGTTCCACTATCATGTTTGGCCTTCATTTGGGTTTCAGTAATTCCTCTCAGTTACATTGCCCTTGATCAAGTCCTACCAGTCATCCTACCGCCTCCTCACCATAGATTTTAGATCACTTGGTGCTCCCTGGTCCCTGGGTTTGTTAACACCTACTCCCTTTCCCTGCCTCCCCTCTCCTATGTCCCTTCGGAACCGTCTGTCCCATTGTCTTCTCCTCTGGATTGTTTATCCCGCCTATCTTATCTAGATAGACAGCCATTTTCTTATGATGTTATTTGGTAATATCTGCAGTCTGTTGAATCACTTTTCTTTAGAATGGACACAAACATGGATCTCTATAAGTTGATTGCCTTTCAACTTTCTTGGCATAGACAGAAGAGCATTTCTAACCCTGTATCTGTTTATTGGGGCCTTACAACTAATATTCTGCATTTCCTGGAATCTTGTTTTTAGCCAATGCCATCAGTGCAGCTGGAACTTCTTTCCTCAGTATTATTGATTCTTGATCATATGCTTTGGGAGACTTCAGATTCAAACAGTGTGGATTCAAACTCTGCTTTTATAGTTTGGAAGGATGCAGTGATTTTAAATTTGAGTTTTGGTTTTGAAACTGTATGAGAGGTAATATTGCTCTTAGGTTTTAGCTTTGAATGGCACAATACATTTTGCAACCGTGAGAAACCTAAGGTGGTAGATGTTACAACATAAAGGCTCAGGAAAGTTTGATACTATTACAAAATCTAGGGCAATATTAGCACATCAAAACCCTCCATTTGTTTTGATTCTACAGTTTATCATTGCTAATCTAGGATAGAAAGAGTGAAATAAAAGATCAAAACAAACCTAAGCCTATTGCCATCAAGTTAATTCAGATGTATGGTGAACCTATATACTGCAGAGTAAAACTACATGGGGTTTCCTTGTCTATAATCTCTATGGAAGCCTTCCTTTCACAGCCCTTGTAAGTAGGTTCTATCCACCAACCCTTAGGTTAGGAACTGATTGCATACAGTACTACCCAAGGCCTATCAAAAAAGAGAAAGAGGAAAGCGAAAGGAATTCTAAATTAAACAGGCATTTGGTTCGAGTCATCATTATTTAGCAAAGAAGCTATCTCAGGCACATAAACTCTTAAAATGTGTTAATAGCTTTTATAAAATTCTTGGTAACATTCATCAAGAATAGGAGGTATGTACCCGGGGCACCAATAACCATAGGACCTCCTTAGTGTATATCTCCTATTAGAGTAGCTTTTCAGAAATAAAAGTCAAGAGCTGGATCCCAGATGACTTTGTTCAGAGTTTCTTTGCCTTGCAGTTGCTTACCTTATCTGAGAGCAGATGGTTTTACAGGTGTATTTCATAGTCTCTCAAACGCAAAAACTTGATTTTCTTAAAAAAAATTGTGAATTAGGTGAAGGTTTACAAAGCAGATCATCAATTTTACATTCAACAATTCATACACAATTTGTTTCAATTCATCCATTTCAATTCCCGCAATGTACCATTGCTTATCCCACTTTCTCCTTGTGTTTTCTATTTCTCCATATTTACTAACCTCCTGTCCTTGGAAAATGTTGTCTTTATGACCTTAAATAATTGAATATTTTAACCTGGGGTAAGGTCAGTTCCAAACCTGAAGGGTGACTAAGGATCTTAGTAAACTTATGATTGTGATTTCTGTTCCACATTGTTTTCTGCCACTCTGTGCAGGAACTTCTAATGTGATCCTTTTCCGAGCAGTTGGTAGTGGTAGCTGGGCACCATCTAGTTCTTGTCCCAGGGTTGTGGAGACTGATGCTTGCATGGCCCATTAGACCTTTGAACTAATTATTTCCATATGCCTTTCGATTTTCATCACTCATTCTTCTGATGGGAGAGACCAATAGCTGATCCTTAGCCCTATAACGCCAAGCACGATGTTTTCATAACGTTTAACTAAATGTATATATTAATATATATATTGATAGCTATGAAAGTAAAGAATAAAGACAAAACGTTTTTTTTCCTGAAATAAAAAATTCAGGCGTTATAGGGTTAGATGTCCCCTCAGAAGCTTCCAAGATCTCATTCGTTACTCACCTCAATAGAATGTACAGCATTGTTTTTGTGAACTGTTATATGTCAGTTGACCTTACTTTCCCCCAAGACTATGGTTCTTAGCCCTCAAAGCCAGCATTTTCTCAAGGGGTTTGGTTATGTTTATCCTTTACATGCTCTACCACATTCATGGATATATTTGCAGCAAAGGTAAATATGTATATATTAATAGGCTCTGTCAAACCTATATATATATATATATATATATTTGGGTATAGTCTACTCACCCTCCCACACCTTTTCAGGCTGTATATTTATTTTATAGTTCTACTTATAGATCACCAGTACTGCAGGATTGTGTATATAACAATATTTGCCTCTGTTGCTTTGATTTTTTAACTTGATGATCTTTTAAATGAGACTTAATTGCTGTTTTGTGCGTCTGGTTCTCTTTCAGTGGGTTGTCTTCTGGCCTCAGAGTATTCCCTATCAGAGCCTTGGTCCTCTGGGCCCCTTCACTCAGTACTTGGTGGACCATCATCAGACCCTCATGCACAATGGGTAAGGAGCTCTGCAGAGATGGGTGGTGAGCACAGAAGCTGTAGGCTCACCGGAGACGGGAAGACCTGAAGTTGCATTTATATGTATCAGAGGGGGAAATTCCAACTAGGGTGCCTTTTTGAGATCAGTGTTAGAGTTTATCAACAAATAACCACTACTTTTAATTAGACTGACTTTTGTTGTTGTTGTTCCAGGTATTGGCTTGCCTGGCTGATTCATGTGGGAGAGTCCTTGTATGCCATGGTATTATGCAAGTGAGTCTCTGGAATAGGTCTTTCTCACTTCCTTCTTAATGTCCAATACGAGTTGAAAGTAGGCACACGTATGTAATTCACACACTTGCAGGCTGAAGACAGAATCAAATCCCCATGCTTAATACTAGCCTGGCCCAGAGGAGGTGGTCAGTAAATATTTGACTGAGTTCACTTTATTTGTACTAATCAATTATTTAGTTACTTACTTTAGATAATTTAAAACTTTTTGCATATAGCTCTTATAAGAACACATTATTATAATTAATCCAGGCTTCACAATGGAATCACCTGAGACGTTTTTTCAAATTATTCCTGTCTGATTGCCAGCCCCAAGATGCTGGTTCTGGAGGTCTGACTACAGTCGTGTTGTTTGTTGCTGTTATGTGCTATTAAATTGGTGCTGGCTCATAGATTCATCTGAACCCCATTGATAACAAAATGAAAAATGGTAATCTGTAATTTTTTCCCAGCTCTGCAGGTACTTTTGGAGTATAAAATATGTTGAAAATCACCGAATCAAAAAAAAAAAAAAAGAAAATCACCGAATCGGCTATCACTTGGCAGATATCAGGGCAGGCTAATATTATGAGAGAGTCCCAGAAAAAATCTGTTTATCTATATTTCAAGCATATGTGAGAGTCTTCAAAAACTTCATAGAAAATTATTTAAGGGCATGGCAAAACAGGCCTAGAGAAGTTAGATCATTATTGCCATGGTCTTGAAATCTTTTGTTAAATTTTTTATGGTTTACTATGTTGGACAATATCCTAGGCACTATCAATCTGAATGAATATTGCTTTTGAAGTAAGAGATGAATGAATGTAAATTAATAGTGAAGATATATAGTACACTTGCAGCCTCCCAAATTCCACTCACTAAAATTAATTACTTATATTATTTTGGAGAATTCCCTTTTAACCAGGGATAATGCAAGAACACGTTGTTCTATGAAATTGGCATTCCAGGATGCACACCTTCCCGACATGATTGCTGAAGAAAAATGTGTGCATAAGCA